GGCAGAAGCCGAGGCAGCCGAGCTGCAGGCTATGGTAAGGAAAGCGGTGGCCGATTATAAACCTTCAACTATGCAGTTAGATGAAAAGTGTAAAAATTGCATTGCATTACACCAATGCGGTAGATCGGAGTAAGAGGAAATACTTTTATTGTTGATTTTAATCAGATCATGGTGTTGGTCATTTTGACTGCCATTGGGATTGTTTATATCGTGAACCTCAACACATTAGCACTCCATATAAAGTGATGAGTAAATTGCTGCATTTTTTGTCATTTGTTCCGATTCCTCTCTTTTTGCATCATATTTAGCAGTTTTCGCCCTTCAATTGGAAGGAATATGGCTTTTGGAAGAAGTGAAGGACCATACGAGCGAGTGCAAGGAAAGTCACAAGTGGACTTATTGCACCATGAGGCGATTGTCTACTTACAAGACCCAATGGACGTTCTGCTGCCACAATGTCTTCTCACCCATTCCACACCTACTGGTCTTCTCCATGCTCACTCATTAGTCGAGTCAACTCATGACCACTAACTAACTAACTTCGCCCATTATGAGGTCATGTAAATTTCAAATATTTCTTAATCAAACTTCACTATGGAAATGAATGGGGAATAAAAGGGTCTGCATTTATGGTAAGGCCTTTGCTTTTTGAAGTTGTTATCAGCATGTGATAGTGGTATATTGAGACCCAAAAGGCAGGACCTCAAATTTGACATTAAACAAGTCGTGAACATACATTTGCAGCAAAATATATGAATGCATATCAGGCCTTTGCAGAAGACTGACACGTCGATTCCTATACCCACTTTACTTCATCTACTTTTGGTGTCTCGCTTCCGCCAAAACCAACGACATCTCTTCCTGTTACATTGATACTAATCGCATTATTCATCATGTCAGCATATTATGGACTATCTTCCCAGTTAAATGTCAACGCATATACAAACAAATCCTCAAATACTGCAGTACAAACATTATGCTGCAAAGCGCCACAAGCGGAGTTGCGCAACATTTAATGTGCACTGCTGCAGCATACGCTCCTTGAGCCACCCATTCATTAATCATCAAGTCTATGCCGTTAATCTCACCACACCCATGCTTCACCACCAGATCTAATCCACTTACAGTCGGTGCTTCACCGCCCTTTGACTAGGCAAATGCAATGTGTCAAATCCTACCCTCCAACTAATATCTCGAAGAAGCAATCGCTGATGCTTTCGTGGTTGTGAAAAATTTGGCGAGTTCAGCTACACCACATCTGCCACATCTTCTGATTGGAGGCACGGTAATGCAACACCAATGTCCCAAACGAATCCATCCACCTTCTTCACCGTCAATACACCCTGCATTCCTCACTTTAACCATTTAACTCATGTCCACACATTCACCTGATAACCACTTTCGTAGCCCAATACAACTACCTGCTTGGCAAGGCAATTCGGTGGAGTGCTAGCAAAGCGCTCACCAGTCCTCTATTTACGAAATGGTTTGACACACGTTGAGTTGTTTAGTGCACCTCACTATTCAAAATCACCCCTCCACTTCAAAGTATGCATTCATTTCACGACTCTTCACCAATTGCACCTCTATCATTCATGTCTTATCTAGGGTCAACGAACACCAAAATGCCCTCATCACAATGCACTAAATCGCATGCCTAGGAATGATGGCTTCTCCATTTTACTTCGTTTCGTATTGAGGTTGCTTCACGAAATATTAGAGGGTCACACGAACATGGCTTAGACGTAGGCGGATGGTGAAAATGCTCAGCCCCGACAAGCGAAGGAAAAGCAGCAGGAGGGTTCACTCCATTGCGCATATCGGTGAGTTGAGGTAAGCGAT